TTTATAAGCCGGCCCGGCCCCGCCCTTCCACTCCTGGACCACACCCCTGGGTTTGAACTCACTCGAGTTGCATCGCCCCAGCTCGGTCCCTTCTCAGAGTTACTCTCCCCCATCCCATCCCCGCCCCTGGCTCCTTCTAGCGCTTCCCTGAGACGTGTCCCCCCGCCCCACTCCCCTGCCTTTCATCTCATCCCCGCATTTTCCTCCCCTGCAGGGCCATCTTGCTGGAGTCTCCTTCCGCGTTTCATCCTATCTTCTCCCTCCTAGATCCTGCACCCTCCAGTCGCACATCTCGCTCCCCGGATGCCACCCCCATCCTGTCTCATCACCCCCGGTCCCAACACCCTCATTCAAAAGGTTCTCTTCTCCTGCAGGGAATTCTTTCCCCGGAATTCCCACCCCCATCTTCATTCACGCCTTGTCCCCTCTATTCTTCCCCATCCTGTTTCTTCCCCTTTGACGTCCATCCACATGTTCCCATCATCCCTTTTTGGAATTTCATTCCCCTCCTGTTGTTTTTCCTTGGCACGCACCCGGCTCCCAGGTCCTTGACCTCCAGTTTCCTTCCCCTCGGAGTCCCATCCCCGACTGTGATACTGCCCCCCTCCGGCCGTCGCCAGTTTCGCCCCCAATAATTTAGTCCCCACTTCGGAATCTGTCCAACTCTCTCGGTTCTGTCTCCGCCCCCTGAGTTCAGGCCCTGCCCTCTGGGATCTGCCCCGCCCCCTCTATTCTGACTCCACCCCCTGCATCCAGCCCCGCCCCTTAGGGCTGAACCCGGACTTTGGGTCTGTGCGCCCGGCCCCTCTCCCTGACGCTGAGGCCATCTCCAGATCCAGGCCCCAGGAGGGTGCTTCCTTCACCACCGCCTCTCTGCCTCGAGCCGCAAATGCATTCGGGATTAAATTTTCATGATGTGGCGCGGGCCCGCCGCGGGGTGGGGGGAACAGCCGCCCCAGTGTCCCGCAGCCACTGCCCGCCGCGGCCTCTCCATGGGGGTCTGGGCTGCACAGTGTTGCCTGTGCTTGAAAACCCCCGGGCCCCCGGGGAGGAGG